AAGGGTTAGCCTTTCTTCTCCCATTGTGAATAGTGCTTCAGGGAAATGTGGCAGCATAAATCCACTTGTCCTAGTTACAAAGCTGGCAACCGGGCACACTCGGCCAATGGTGCTTTCTCCGACCTCCCAGAGATTCATATTGCTTTGCTCATCATAAAGTGAAATGATGGAACCAAGAATTAGCAAAACAATCACAAGCCTCTGCCAACAGGACAGTTGGTCACTGCTGTCATATCCTGTTTAGCTGTGGTTGGCTCACCATGAGGTACGGGCCTTGTTAGTTGCCATAAAGTCTAGTCAATCAAGTGATTCTAATCACTGGCTTCAAGCAGCATGGAGACAGATTGGGGTTAATGACCTTGTGGGAAGCCAGAGGGGACACTGCCAGAGGGGACACTGCCAGAGCATCTTCTGTGCATACGTGTGACACAAATGAGGATTAAGTACATGGCTGTGCAGAGCAAAGGCAAAGGACAAAACCCCTGCTGCCAAGGCTGAGGTGAGAATGCAGGAGAGTTGACGAAAACATCAGAAAAGGTGCAAGGACATTTTTTTTAAATGCACACTTGGTCAGCTACCACTGCAATTAAGACTGGTTTTCCTAGCTTAATCTTTGTTCTTTATTTTGACTAAGCACACTGTAAACAATGTAAATGACACTGCTGTCAATGCAAGAGGATTGTAGTTATGGAAGCAATGAAAGTCAAAACAATAATTAATGCAAGAGCACAGTGAAAAAATGATGGCAGTAACTGGACAATGATTACTATCACTCTGAGTGAAAGCACTGGTAGTAGAAAGGATCAGGCAAAGAGACACCTATTAAATGTCCAGCATCAGTTTTCTAAACATAAGGTCATAGAAAGCAGAAAAAAGATAAATGAGAGAAAAAACAAAAATACTGATGAAATGAAGACAACAAAGGCTAAAAACAGAAGTGTCCTGAGGAGGAGAGAGTCTGGGTGCACTGGGGCAGAACATTGTTCCCACAGATCCTCTGTGAGAAAAGCTACTGAAGCAGAAACAGTGAGCGTGTTAAGAATGTGTGTTTGCTTCGGAAATTGAATAGCAGCACTGTGGCCTGTGCGTTTATGTCATGTCATTCTGGGCCACGGTTAGAGCAGGATAAAAGGATTTGACGGGAACTCGTCCGAGCTGGACCACATTAAAGTGGCCAGCAGTAAGACGAGGAAAAATTAACCACCAAAGTCTGTGCTGCAGATCCACTGTTACTGGGTGCAGGAAGTGTGTGATTATGGTAATGAAATGGAAAGGTGTTTGCTGTATAATTAGGAGGTAATGCAGTGTAATAGCTACGGATAATAGCCTCACTTTTAGCCTCACTTTCACCGTGCAGTGTTTGTGGCAAAATACTTGATTACAGCCGGAAGGTAGTTTGTGAAACAGGCAGTCCACTGCAAAGGCGAGACAGAAAAAAACAACTAAAAAGACTAGATGAAGTGCGATGGTTATTAAAAAAACAAAAAACAAAGAGTAAAACCCAGGAGGAGTAAACCTTTTGTACTATATATTCAACTGGGAGCCATTGAAATACACATTTGAAGGCAGCTGTTTTCTTTTTACAAGGAAGGAAGGAAAAAGATGTGCACTTTTATTTGAACATAATTAAAGGCAGGTGCATTCTCTTCTGAGAGCAGAGGATTTCATGAGAATTATTCATTCTCTTTTCAGAGCTTATAACCTGCCGGCTTCATTAAAATAAAACTGCTGCTGATATTAATCCAGTAATCTAACTCCAATCAATATTTTTAATAACCACAGACCAATCGTTACAGCAGAGCCCTGCAGTCCAATCATTATTAAAAAAAGGGTACGTTTCCAATTTCTTTTGGAAAAGCACTAAAACACACCATAAATAATGTCTGTTTTAACAAAACAGTTATTTTTCATCATGTAATGATTGTAATTTTCTTATGGAATTCTGTAGTACAGCTCTATATTTTTATATGTGTCTGACGTTTTTGGCAGCGATGGTCCGAGGACCAGCATTTCATCTGATGATGGGATGCAACACTGTCTGGCACAGACTTCTGTGGGTGACAAGCAGGAAACGAGGAGGGAAGTTTGGACCGAGACCTGCTGACCTACACATGATGTCCGCTTCAATACACTCATGCTGAGGGTCACACGCACAAACTCTGGGAAAACTAAGCCTTTGTTCTACTTTTGCTGAGGAACATTTTGTATTTTCCCCCCTTCAGAGCAGGGAAATATGAAGCCATTGAATATATTTCTCTGAGACAGTCAGCAGCAAGAGGGGAACGGAGTGATCTCTCAGAGGAGATCGGCACATTATCCAAAGGAGTGGCTGCATCCCTGGAGGAAGTCATGAAGAAAGGAGCCCTATTAAATGATGGAGAGTAAGTTTTAGTTAAGAAACTGTAGACAGCAGCATACATATATCTTTGTCTGACAGTTTTCCAAATTCTCCCAAAAGAGACAATTCAGCACTCAGACACGTCATGGGAACTGGGTTTTTCCTAGACATGCTGCAGGAGAAGAAGAGTGTCCTATTTACTGTCTGGGAGAAGAATGTAGAAAAGAGTTGTGGTCAGCTGATCCAGCTGGTGGGCATTGGTTAACAGACAACAACAGGCTCTGACAGAGGGTGAGAACACTACTACTGCTACTACAATTACACACACAGAAAGTGACAAAGCACAGACCAGCAGCATCCTGAACCCTCGCATTCCATGATCCTGATTGGCCCCAAGCCAACAGAGGAATTCACCAGGATTCCCTATACACCATGAGAAGCCAATTACAATTCCACTGACAATGCATGTGGCCTAGACCAGAGGCGTGGCCCAGCTACAAGTCTTCCCACAGTCAAAACAACTGAACCAAAAAACGAGAAATCGTTTTCTTCGCAGCTCCATTTTTACCGTTCTAACTGTTTTTGTCTTCACCAGAACCGTGTTGAAATATTAATGAGAAAGCACTTAATAATCCAGCTGTGGCCCAGTGTAATCATTTACAAAGGAAAATTAAACTTTCTGACTATTATGATACTTGTTCTGAATTGCCAAGAGTGCCCTGGTGGTTTTATTACACATTTTTATAGTTTGGAGTTGCTACATTAACACTTTTTACACCACATTTATAAATAATTCAAGCACAATTCACAAATTAACAAGTGTAAAAGTAGTTTCAGCACGTCCACGGGAACTGTATCACATTTTTCACCTTTCGTGCACGGTATCATTACTGCTTATAAAACAGATAGGACAGGACCAGGTGCAACGACAATAAAACTTTTTAACTTTAATAAAACTGCCTAAAAGAACACAAATAAAATGTAACCAAAAGGAGAAAGCTGTTTTGCCAAATTTAGCCAATAATGCTGATTGAACAAGAGAAGAGAAATTAATGGACCAACTGTAACTGATGGTGATGACGGCACTTCACCTTCTTCCAGGGTTGGAGAAAAAAAGTTGGGGATGATTCAGCGATGGAAGTTGTTCAACTTGTTAGCATATGACGTTAATATATTTAGCTTATGTTCTTTAGGTTATGCTCTAAATATGAGTCTCTCCAGATAAAACGTTTGGTCTTGTATACTTGGATAGTGAATGTTTAAAGAATAAATGTGACTTTTAGGCTGGTGTGACTTCTGTTTTTTCCTCTTCATGATGTACTTTTTGACAGATGTGGTTAAAACTTCAGTGGGCTTTAAATTCTGCAAACTCTGGTATCTTTGGAGCATGACAGAAAACACTTAAAAAAGCTGTTAGGGCGTTTAATATAGGCGTTGATGCATTAAGTGTCTATTGGACTGTGACCTGCCGGACTGAGACTAAAGAACTGCCAAAGACAAACACCATATTAAAGTGAAACTAATGATTCTCCTTCCTTGAAGGACTCCTCTGCGTGACAGCCTTCTCTGGAGGATCTGCTGCTCTCTCCATGACTCTCACCAACATCCCTCTACAAACCCCAATGGCCCAGAGTGAGACTGCATTCACAATGTTTCCGACAATGCAAACTGGCAGCATGAGGCACTTCAGTTGTGCTGTCATCTCATATCTTGTAGAGCAGAAAATTATCTGGGCCTTATATACTGTGTGTATATATATATATATATATATATATATATCCCAAGTCAGGTTGCTTTAGCTGAGTTGCATTACTGCTTTGTACTAGATCTATTTTAACCAACAGTAACATCATTAACATTTTACCCAAGTTATCGCAGCACTTTCACAAAAATAAAACATGTTCAGGGCAGGATCCCTGCAGATGAACACACCACTATATGCTTTAATAGGGTATTTAAAAATGATTAATAATTAAGATTTTTGCATGCTTTATCTGTAGGTTTGTTGTAAGTCTCGTGACTCTCTAAGACAGATTGTCTGCCAAACTTTTTTTCTGGGGACCCATATTTTAAAAGTCACAAACCTTCGTGACCCAAGTCAATACATTATTCGTAAACTCCTGGGAAACATGATGCGAGACGACCCCCCAAAAATCTCTTGCGACCCAGTCTTTGGGAAACAATGCTCTAAGCTGACAAAGGTTGGGACTACAATAAATAATAAGACGTTTTTTGACAACACGTTTCCATATCAGAGCAGCTCTGTCATATCCTTGGAGTTACACTCTGACTCCAAAGATTAATGTAACTGCAAAAGGACAACATATAAGGATGAGTCTGGAGGTTTAGGAAATATGTATAGAACATACTAGTATTATTTTAAAAAATATGTACAAGAAAACAGATTTGTGCAGGTTTTTGCACATCTTCCAAAGAACCAATGGTTTACATGGTGTACATCTAAATACGGTTTCTGTGTGTAAGACAAAGTACAATCGTTACAAAAAGGGTGGTGGTCGTAGTGTGTCCACATTTGTAGTTGTATAACTTGAAAAATACTGTAGTTTTTCCACCGTAGAAGTAAATACGCGGTGCCCAATCCAGGGCTCTCAGTGACAGCGCGTCCTGTTTATCAACCCCTACCCCATCGTCTCCCACTGACCTGCTGGTAGTTCTCGTCTTCAGGCTGGAAGCTGTTGTCAATAGGCTGAAACCTCAGGTTGATGTGAGGGAAATTATGAAGCCAATAAGTCCACCAGGGCGCAATGTAATCCACCCGAGACATCCCTGACCCGAAACACACACAAAGTCAGGCTACAGCCCAAATTAGCCTTTCTGCACTGAAGATTCTAATCCAGTCTCATCTCATACAAAGGCAGTGCTGAAAGCATGCGCGTTTGTGGAACACACACACTGATCCACGGGAGACCAAGCGCACACCAAGTCCCCAGGAAACACTAGCCAATTTTTACCAAAGTGGAATTCGACTGATGGGTTCCTGCTCAAGGGCGAATAATCACAACAAGTCCATGTTTCGTCCGTGTGTGGAGTCTACGCTACTATCCGACAGACAGCTGCTCCAAGCGCACGGCACAGCCAAACTGCGGGCACGCGCACTGGCAAAGGACTCGGGACAAGGGGTGCGAGTGCGCGCAAAGCGGTCCCGTAATTTTAACAATACCCGGGTGCAAGGTTTTGTGTTGCAACTCCACAATATTACGCACATTTTATAATTCCAATCTAATTTAGTTGAATTGTCTCCACCCTCGCTTTCTCAGCGTTTCAAATAAATTAGCTACCCTATTGCCACCTGGCGGGCATTTCTCGTAAATACAACGTTCCATAGCTATTTCAAGCTTCAAGAACCCACAACACGTAGAACATAGTATCCTCTATATACTACTAAAAGCTTATTTGTCTACAAGTATAGCTCGATAGGTAAGCAATCTATGATTTTAATAAACCTACACAAGTTTTGACACCTCATAAGGATGTAACACATTTTCAATTTAACAAAAAATAAAACATTTACTGTATAAACTAAACAGTAATTCCCAGTTAATGGAGCTTTATATGATTGTGGATACTAGCTGTTAAGGAAGTTGGCTACTTATCCTAAAATCAATTCTCCCTGAACCATTAAATTCAGCAGAAACCTGACATAGTTTTTACATGTTAGAGCCAATAAAAATTATTGAAATTGACATGTCCTGTCCTTGTCCCTGAGACATTGCATTTTCCATGTTAATTGGTGCTTGCAACCTAATAACTGTCTGCAACATTTTTTTCAGGCAATCAATTTCCATAAATTATGTATCCTATAAAACTTTAATGTCATCCTCATCATAAAGCACTGGTTATGACAAGCCAGCACAACTTATCTGGTAATTAGATAACAAATCTGATGACAGCATTAATTCTTAAAGATTGTTAGAACATTGAAGAACTTCTGCATTAACGAGAATCAAAAAGTTGATCTGACAGGAGCAGGATACTGTAGAGGGATCAGCAAAGACAGCAGTGTGCATTGGGGGAGGTTATCTTTACAAGTGTAGTTTCAAGAACTTTCTGCTTAAATGCAACAAACTATCCTGGCTTGCCAAGGATCATTATGAAATTGCATGCAGGTTTTCTTTTTAAAAAATATGCTCTCATTTTCACTCATTTCCTTAAAAATGATCATACACCATTTTTTCAGACTGATTAAAAATGACACCATACAGAATATGTAACAAACATGACTTAATCATGTTTAACGTAATAGAAAAGGCCTATGACTGAAAGTCACAACAGTTTATTCAACACCTACTACATATGACCATGACACTGCAGACAAAATAGTTTTCTGATTTTTTATTACAATTATTTGTACATCACTGATTTACTTCAGCTCCTTTACAGCCAGTCCTGCAACCAAAAAACCAAACACAAACATTAGAAATAAATTAACATTCTTACCAATTTCAGGACAGTTACCATATACATAAACATACACACAAATGCCCTAGAACACAGACGTGAAAAAATGTGACAAAATCAAAATTGTTTGCTGTACCTTTTGCTAAGTGTTCTTTTTCTTACTGGTAATACCCATTAGTTATAAAATCACAAGCGCTCCAAAATGACAATTATAGCAGACACATTAAAACTTATTGTTAATGCTTGCATTGCGCTCCAGGTAGAAAAAAATAAATAAAAATCAAATAATCATGGCCATAACTTGTAACTCTAAAACCCTGTGATACAAAACAAGCACAATAAAGTGGTGAACTGACAATGAAATAGCCTCTGTAGAACACCTACCAAGTTCGAGAGGATTTTCAAAATAAACTACAGATTAAATTTGTAAGTTACATTGCATTTTTTAAATATTTAGATGCACACACTATTATTGCCCACTGATACTGTGGTAAATAACTCTTAAAGAACTCATGTACAGATTTTCATTCAACACAGAAACATCATTGGTGAAGATATAGTGACCAATACTTGAGATTGCTTTTTAAAAAAAACGTAAAAGCACTGACCTGGTGGCAGGGACTGTTTGAGCTTCTCAGCCTTCTCCTTGTCTGTGATGACCAGGGTGTACAGGTATCTGCTGCATCGCACCTTGAATTTGACATTGTCCTTGTTTTTCTTGATTTTCACAGCTTAAAAATGATGGACAAGATGAATGCCATTAAATAAGTTATGAATAAAGTTTTAAATTACATGCAGAAATGTATGAATTTTGTTTTTTCAAAATTGCAAGGTAAGCAATAATGCCCTTGTTCATAATATTGGATTAATCCTCTTTCTAATAGAAAGTTTTCTGATGACGTCACGCTACTACCCATAGTTCCGTAGCCCACCAAAGAGCGTATAGATAGATATTAAATACATAAAAGAAAACTGATAATGGTAAATACCTGTATTGTGTGGGGTTCTACCAATCGATCTGGGAATGGACATCGCAAGATGAAATTTTGACATAAAGCTCTGTCGCCAAGGGAAGCTGACGGAGGATATTTCGACATGGCTTTTACGTATTAACCTCGCTAATTTCAACCGAGATCCAAGCAAAATACTTTTATTTAATTCATATGTTCAATGTCAATAAAATTAAAATATATCAAAATGTACTTTGCATACATGATGAATGCACACAATGCAAACATAAATCCCTAATGTAACCTGTTATTCTAATGATGTTCACAAAAGACATACATCCGTAGATGCCACTGTGATTTTACATTAACACGCTTTTATTACTGTGTTCAATTTTGTCTGATCGACCTCCGGCGATTTAATATTCTGGTCTTTTGTTGTCATTGTGGATTGTTTACGTCTATCTATTCGCGTCTTTTGCCGCAGAACATGGCCAGCGGTGCGATGCATCATGGGTAATAACAATTATCGGAAAACCATCAATTGCAGAAGGTTGTTGTTGGTATAATCAGATAGAAAAAAACTATTTAGTTTAAAATACACATTGCACAAAGCACTACTTACTGAATAAATTCTGAAGGATATAACGTCACATTTCTAAGGAATGCACTTTACTAGGCTTTGTTCTGTGGATAACCTTAGAATTAGTACTCCTTTCAATGAACCATGAAAATTAGATCACTACTTATTTAGGTCATAATTTAAGGTTACCAAAGCACATACACGTATGTTGGAACGTTAATTTCTCTTTATCTAAAATAAAATACGAACATTGTTATATTTGTTACTTACATTTAGCATCCTTCCTCCTGGCTGTCAGAAGGAAATCTTTGATTTCTTCTATCTTGCGAGGCTGTAAATAAAAATAAAGAAAGACGACAATTATTATACGTGTAGATGTTTCAAGCTAATAGGTACTGCAGAGCAACATGATGTTAGTGGACCGGTGGAACTGCAGTTTCTGGGTAAAACTCGAAATGCAGCACTTGGTCCATATATTTTCTGGCAAGTCTGTGAATGCATCACCGGCACTTTAGCCTGGGATGTTTGGACGACTTGCTGACGAAAGGGTCAAAGCAAACGACAACAGCCGAATACGAACACTGTCACTGTGAATCAATTCGACAAATTCGTAAATGTAAATAAAGTTTCGTTATTTGCGAGAGTATTTTAAACCTATTTACTGACCAAGGAAAGCGGCCGGGTGGCCCAAGCTAGCTTCATGCTAATGCTACATTGCAAATGTGTTTCTCTAAAGCTATTTCGCCCCAGTTAGCATTACTTACAAAATACATACAAAATTGCAAAATATGTATAAAACACAAAAATGTATTATCTGTTACGTGTACTCTAAAAACATAAGGAAAGAAATGCTTACCATGGTGCCGTGTTAGCGGACTGGGTGCTGCGGAAAGCAGAATAAACAGTGATAGTTAATCGGCTATAGTAATAAACAGATAACTTTTAAAAGGTAAATGCGTTCGCGTTCCAGCGACAATTTAATTTAGTAAATGTACGTAGGTAAGAATTTGAGCCTAACTATTAATACAACAGAGGATGGATTAAGATTGAAATCAAGTATTTATTTGTGCGAAAATGTGAGACTCACTCAGTCTGCCAAAGAGGGGATGAAGAGGGAGTGTACTTCCGGTTCAAAGTGTTTAAGTACTAACTACGGCACCCGAAGAAGTACATAGGAAGAAAAGCGAATGACACGCCAAACGGTCGCTAGTTGACACCTTGGATTGACTGCAGCGCCTCCTGCCACCCCGCGCAGGTATAGACTAAATTATTATTATTATTAGCATTATTATTATTATTATTATTATTATTATTATTATTATTATTATTATTATTATTATTATTATTATTATTATTATTATTATTATTATTATTATTATTATTATTATTATTATTATTATTATTATTATTATTATTATTATTATTATTATTATTATTATTATTATTATTATTATTATTATTATTATTATTATTATTATTATTATTATTATTATTATTATTATT